TAAGATTTCGTTGTCAAGAAGCTTCAAGAGGGGAATCGCGAGATGTTTTTAGACTTGATAAAACACTTGCTTGAGTGTTTTGAACTTTTTCAAAAACGTCCCGGGGTACTCCGGTCCATTTCATAGCGTATAAATTACGTATTCCCGTTTTAAACGTGTTGATTATAAAATGGCAAACGACAACACCCGAAATTACAGAGGTTGTCAAGCCAGTTGTGCAAATACATTGTGAAACTGAGATACACAATTTAAGCGTTTACTTACCCTAATCAGAACCGTATAAGAGGAAAGGCATTGCTTAAGAAGAGTTTCAAATCCAACTACAACGCGAAGTAATAGGCACTGATAGTTTTTACGGTATTGCTAACTGCTAAGAATTGTTTAACTCGCTCTTTGCTTGTCTAGAAGATGGCTATTTTTTTGCCTCATTAACACATGTCTTTCATTCTCTGTTCAAGATATTAGAATAAATTCTCTGAATATTGAAAGAGCATAATAATTTCAGTTATCTTTGAAAATTTGAGCCCGATATACCGAATAGACTCGGAGAAGTTATGTTTGAAAAATCGAAACTTTACTTTTAAAGAATATATGGGCTCATCAACGTTTTTGCCACTCAGCAATTTCTGCAGTTTTCGATGGCTGTTATTTCGTTGCAACACGCTGAAAGGTGCTCAAATTAATTGCCTTCTATGGGTTAAGTCGTACGCTAATGAGCAAAAATGTAAACAATGACGTCAGCAAAGATTTGCCTTTTCCAAATATATTACTGATGACCCGCCAGCAATAGCAGATCAGCAAATTGCTGTGTTGAAATGTCAATGCAAGCTATACTTGCATTTGGTGGTCTGTGAAGGGTACAGATAAAAAATTGATTTACATTTAATAAATAAATTAAATAAATAAATAATGATTCAGAGGTAGCACATTCACTGAATGGTTCTTCGTCTATCTGATTCCTGGTCAAATTTGAATGGTCAGTTTCTGAGGAGAGGGGAAACCGGAGTACCCGGAGAAAAACCTCTCAAAGGAAGGAAGAGAACCAACAACAAACTCAACCCACAAATGGCGTCGACGCCGGGATTAAACCCGGGTCACACTGGCGGGAGGTGAGTGCTCTCACCGCTCCGCCACCCTTGCCCCACAAAACCCAAACTTCCAACCAAAGCTGTTAAAAATGGCTGGTTGTTGCAGACATGTTTAATGGTTACACTTGCGGGATGTGAATTTTTAGAAAAACAAACAAACAACACGATAGAACATTAAGTTTTGTTTTCATACCTGCGATAAAGATGGTAAAGAAATTATCCACCAAGTCATCCATTTCAATCTCCGAATTCTCCTGCGCTTCTTTGACGATGTGCTGCAAAATATCATTCGGTGTCTCGTCTCCATTGTGTAAAGCCAAACTCCTCTCTTCAATGACGTTTTTGGCAAAGTAACGAAGATATCTTATAGCTTCAACGACTGAATTTTGAAAGGGAAATGAGGATATCTGGAACATCCAAAATGGATTTTGTAAATTCGCTTGCATTCCTTCCAGTGTTTTTGACACGGCACTTGGAAATGCCGAGTCTGGATTTCCTACATTGTTCAGATTTATGCCAAAACCAACCTGAAATGAAATATTCTTGTTGTTTAACCTCGCCCCGTGTTTCGGAATCCGGGAAATTTTTGCTTGTGGAATCCGTCCAGGGAGGGGGGGGGTACTCCTGGGAATTCTTAGTGGGGGTGTGCCGCCCGGTTCCTCAAATCCTGACCCGATTTCAGACCAGGAAAAGTAATTTTCCACACCCGTTTTCAGGCTAGACCTCTAAAATCCATATCCCGTTTTCAGACCTGGCCTTTAGGCAGAGATTATGTTATCATTACGTAGCCGTTAGAGCGTAAACAAAAGATTATTCAAATCCATTTCAAATTCGCATATTTCTCTTTCTTTGTTACTCATTTGGAATTGAAACGATAAACACGTTCATACACTCCGTAGTTCCCTAGAAAACCATACCCAAGGATCCCAGAAATCGTCATAGTAAAAAAAATAATAATAATAAAGCTTGTTAAACAGAATGTGAAGAGAGACAAGCGGCTGCGTAACGTGTGCAAAGCCATCAATACGAAACACTGACTGAGGTGTTTACACACAATTAGTTGGCGTTTTTTTGAAAAAAAAAAAATGCTCAAAATACATCAACGACGTTGTATAGAAAATTCTTGAAAAAAAAAGAACACAATTATCAGATGTTTTGCTGAAAATCTTTATTGCCAATTTTTCTCATGTTTCACCGAACCGATTTTAGCCGATTTTTAGTATGTTGGTAAATAGCCATCCAACAATTAAATTGCGTTGAAAAAATTTCTGTTGCAATTGGTTTGATGCTAAACCACAATTTGACTGGACTAGTGTTGTCTATGTTGAGTATGCCTAGAAGTTTGAAGTAACGTGCACTACTTTCTCTATTATGGCTAAAAATATGACCTTAGTTAGTCTACTTTGGTATGTGTTTCCCTAACTAATAATTTAAATCGCTTCTTTCTTGATCTGTTTATGTTCCATCGTCGCTATTCGAACTCCCGAGTTTGGGGGCCATTTAAGTTTCATTGAAGAGAAGCTTGTAAAACAGCAAAAGTGTTCCATATGCAACACATTTCTCAACACTAAAAAGGATGAGATTAACCCAGGAGATAAAGGAAAGCTTGATACGAGGAATAAAGTCGCTTCTGTTGGAAAATCTGCTGTTGGGGAAAAAATCTAACCGGCAAACGAAGAAATAAAATCAAAAAAGAATTACAAGCCTAAAGCGAACGAGAAAGGAAAAGAAAACACCGCTATTTTTTCCGAAACCTGGCCGAGGTTATAAAAGAATGAAAATAATACGAAAATAATAACGACGTGCCGCTGTTCTAGAAAACATTTCAAAGAGCACAGCTAATCATTCTAAGTTTCAATCGGGTAACAAAAAGTCTCAATGTTACATTTCTGACAGAGACTAAAGTGAAAACCAGCATACAGTACCTTGCCAATAATGTCGAGGGTGACTCTTTCAAATTCATCCATCATCCTGACCGGCGTTTTACCATCAGCATATTTCCTCAGATTTTCCAGAAAGTCGTCACAAATCGAATTAAAGGCGTCCATCGAATTCATCAAATACTTTCTGTGAAATCCGGGTTCTAACATTGCTCGCTTGTGACGCCAGACATCGTGATCGATTTCCGTCATAATTCCCTGCCCAGCAGCTCGCTGGCCGAACACGCTGCTGAGTTTGGAGTAAAGACGTGGTGATTTGGGCAAATTCAATGTGATGAGGGCTTTCTTGGCCATGTCAGGGTGAGATAGGATAACAACGGGATTAAAAAGCATCCACAAAACGTAAACCGATCCATATTGCCGATACCAGTTCATCAATATGATGGTCATGCCCCCGTTTTCTCCCTCTCTGTTCATTTCTCGTCGAATAAAAGGGACATTGCCAGTGAAAAAGCCATCTCTTGGAGGCCCTGGAATGTGCGCGTAACGCAAATGCTGATGATGGACATACAAAGCGAACGACAAAAATCCAAGGAGAAGAAAAAAAATCAGGGGTAACACCCAGTAAATCAACGTTAGAACCATTATTGCAACTGAGATTTGCAGTGGGAGGTGAGTGCTCTCACCGCTCCGCCACCCTTGCCCCACAAAACCCAAACTTCCAACCAAAGCTGTTAAAAATGGCTGGTTGTTGCAGACATGTTTAATGGTTACGCTTGCGGGATGTGAATTTTTAGAAAAACAAACAAACAAACAACAGGATAGAACATTAAGTTTTGTTTTCATACCTGCAATGAAGATTGTAAAGAAATTGTCCACCATGTCATCCATTTCAATCTCCGAATTCTCCTACGCTTCTTTGACGATGTGCTGCAAAATATCATTCGGTGTCTCGTCTCCATTGTGTAAAGCCAAACCCCTCTCTTCAATGACGTTTTTGGCGAAGTAACGAAGATATCTTATAGCTTCAACGACTGAATTTTGAAAGGGAAATGAGGATATCTGGAACATCCAAAATGGATTCTGTAAATTCGCTTGCATTCCTTCCAGTGTTTTTGACACGGCACTTGGAAATGCCGAGTCTGGATTTCCTACATTGTTCAGATTTATGCCAAAACCAACCTGAAATGAAATATGGTCAAACTGCAAAGTTAATAAAGACACTGCAGGGTCCATAGAAAGTATCTGTATCAACCCTTTAAGTCCCAATAGTGACCAACGTCAATTTTCTCCTAACAATATTCATAGATTGTCAAGAGAATTAAGGTTATGAGAAATAATAAAATAATCACTTAAGAGAAAATTTTTTGATCTTTTATCGAATTCTCTCAACTCATTCTTTACAGAAATATGTAAAGATCAGTTTGGAGAATTTGTATGTGGATATTGGGACTTGAAGGGTTAATGGGGTGTCCCGACCTTCTTCCCAGGCTCCTCTCCTAGACCCTGGGAACAAGGTTGGGGGTGTCCGTATTAAGAGGGTTACATTGTTAAAGCCAAACAACTCCTTTTATTAGAACAAAATGCTAAAGAAATGAAAGAGGACTTTAGCATTGTCGAATTAAACATCTCTAACCTTAGTTAGTCTACTTTGGTATGTGTTTCCCTAACTAATAATTTAACTCGCTTCTTTCTTGGTCTGTTTTTGTTCCATCGTCGTTATTCGAACTGCCGAGTTTGGGGGCCATTTATATAAAGTTTTTTTGAAAAGAAGCTTGTAAAACAACAAAAGTGTTCCATATGCAACAAGCATTTCTCACCACTAAAAAGGATGAGATTAACCCAGCAGTAAAGGAAAGCTTGATACGAAGAATAAAGTCGCTTCTGTTGGAAAATCTGATGTTGGGGAAAAAATCTAACCGGCAAACGAAAAAGTAAAATCAAAAAAGAATTACGAGCCTAAAGAGAACGACAAAGGAAAAGAAAACAACGCTATTTTTTTTCGAAACCTGGCCGAGGTTATTAAAGAATGAAAATAATACGAAAATAATAACGACGTGCCGTTGTCCTAGAAAACATTTCAAAGAGCACAGCTAATCATTCTAAGTCTCAATCGGGTAACAAAAAGCCTCACTGTTGCATTTCTGACTAGTCACTAAAGTGAAAACCAGCAAACAGTACCTTTCCAATAATGTCGAGGGTGACTCTTTCAAATTCATCCATCATCCTGACAGGCGTTTTACCATCAGCATATTTCCTCAGATTTTCCAGAAAGTCGTCACAAATCGAATTAAAGGCGTCCATCGAATTCATTAAATACTTTCTGTGAAATCCGGGTTCTAACATTGCTCGCTTACGACGCCAGACATCGTGATCGATTTCCGTCATAATTCCCTGCCCAGCAGCTCGTTGGCCGAACACGCTGCTGAGTTTGGAGTAAAGACGTGGTGATTTGGGCAAATTCAGTGTGATCAGGGCTTTTTTGGCCATGTCAGGGTGAGATAGGATAACAACGGGATTAAAAAGCATCCACACAACGTAAACCGATCCGTATTGCCGATACCAGTTCATCAAAATCATGGTCATGCCCCCGTTTTCTCCATCTCTCTTCATTTCTCGTCGAATAAAAGGGACATTTCCAGTGAAAAAGCTTTCTCTTGGAGGCCCTGGGATGTGCGCGTAACGCAAATGCTGATGATGGACATACAAAGCGAACGACAAAAATCCAAGGAGAAGAAAAAAAATCAGGGGTAACACCCAGTAAATCAACGTTAGAACCATTATTGCAACTGAGATTTGCAGAAGTTGATACGCTTAACTTCCTAAGGGGAGTAATTGAAAATCGTGTGACCTATCAGATGAACAAATGCAGCTGCAATATCATATTAGCGTCCTCGTGATTTAATGATTTAATGTTTTCTTACTAGGACAATAGTCAAGAATCGTCCATTGTAGCTATACGCGTTCCTCTTAAGTCGTCAACGGATATTACAAACACCTCAACTGTTTTCACTTTCTTATATCCTACTTTCAAATTGTTTTCCCTTTTACTAGACGGTGTTGTCTATATCTAGAAGAAAATTACTAGTTCACAGGCAAGTTAATTGATATATGACACGGTATGACAGATCTTGTCAACGATCAATTAAGATAATTAACAAGAAAAAATCTTTTACCCCCGATATCTTTCGACAGAAATAATATTTTCTTCTGATTATTTTTTTAAAAGAAAGCTCTCAAGAATATCTATTTGAAAATGTTGAAACCTCAAAAATGAAAAAATGGCAATTTTAAGGGTGGCTGATACCTTAAACTAATTATAATAAATAATTCATAAACAAATAAAAAAAACACACCTCAAATTAATGCGTTAAAAAGAGCGGTTGGAAATCAGTAGAAAAACTTCTCATTTCTGCATCCTTGATTTTCTTTTTCTTAAATCAGTTCAGTTGTTCGAGAAGTAATATTAAACATTCCAGTCAGTTGTTCACCACAATATCAAACACCTCGGAGTTCGTCAAAAATACATCGTTGTGCATCTTATTTTTAACGCTCTGGTCGGTATTACTGTCAAACCGACAAAACCGTGAACACTTGCAATGTTTTAGCAATGTTTATTACTTAACAATTGACCACTCCAGAGAATATCAAAACATACCATAACGCTCTTTGTTTGTCACCCCAAAATTTTGCATAAGCATTGTCTTCAGTTTCTCTTGGGAGTTAAAATGGCCCCAAGGAAAACTGAAAACAATGCTTATGCAAAATTTTGGGGTGACAACAAATAGCATTATTGTATGTTATGGTATTTTCTGGAGTGGTCAATACCACACGTTCCAATATTAAAACTCTAAAATGACGCCGAGGCTTTCTGGTGATTTTCCTATACTTGGTTTGGTTTTCTTTGTGTTCAAGTCTCTTCTGGGAATTGCAAGACAATGGAGTGGTCAAAAATTTGCAATTTTGACGGAGTCATGTTAGAATAATTTTAATATACAGCTAAATCAAAAAAGGTTGCTTTGGTAACTGGTCATTGGTAATTAGGCATTTGGGCATATGAAACAATGCAATGAGTTACTTGAATGAGTGACCACCAAACAATAGCTTCCCAATACCCAATAGGACAATTGCACGATGACATCATTTACTACAACTACCAGAATCCTTGAGTTTGTTGTTTTCTTGTGCAAATTAAGGCTATTGTTCTTTAATCCTCGGCGGGATTGACAAATTTAAATAACAAAGCAAAACCGAAATGAATTCTGGTAGTTGTAGCCAAATATCGTCATCGTGCAATTGTCCAATTCTCAATGCCCGAAGCAACCTTTATTGAATCAGCTTTCTCAAACTGATTAATAATTCATAAAGAAAATACAAAGGAAATTAATGTTTAATGAGTGTTTGGAAATCGGATGAAAAACTGCTCAGTTTTGTATCCCTAATTTCTTCTTCTAAAATCAATTTGTTTGAGAAGTAGTATCAAGCATTCGACAATGTGTTTCATCACCACATGAAACACCTCGAAGTTCGTCAAAAATACTCCGCTGCGCGTCGTATTTTCAACTCTCTTTCAGTGTTTCACCTGGTGATGAAACACTGTGTCTCACGCTTGATATATTACATATCGAACGTGGGGTATTAGTTCATGAGCTTTCATGCGTCAGCGTGCGTGCGCGGGAAGTTTGAAGAGCACGAAAGAGCCGTAAGAGTTGCGCCTCGAGCAACTCTAACCTCTTGAGTGCTCTCCAAACTTCCCAAGTACTCAATATCTCGACATACGCACAGCTGAAGCATGAACTACATTGTTTTATACCATTATCAAAGCGGTCAATGCAGAAATAACTTATATTTTTATTATTGTAGCGCGCGCTCAAAGCAGTACTTGTCAATGTCTACGTGACAATATTTTTTTTTACCTAGACTGCAAAGCAGTCCGTATTTTTGCGTATTCAAGTACGCGCGAACAGTTAAACAAAAGCAGAGACGAAATATAGCGTTTGGGACTTAAAAAATGCCCAAACTAGCAGAAATCTTCGAACAGTCAAGCGGTACGAGGCAGGTATATGTATCTTTTTTCTTTTCTGATCATTGTATAAAACAAATAGATTCCATGTTGCCGTGGATCTGTTCAGTAATAGATCACAGAGGACGCTGGGCCCGTTTCTCGAAAGTCCTGTTAACTTATTGGACCCGAAATCAAACATTCAAATCAGAATCTAAAGAATTTGAGGTCAAAAGTGTTGGGATCTTTCCAGTGATAATAAGATCACAGAGGACGACAAAATGTGGTGAAAACATCAGTGACAACACTTCTTTGTTTTCAACACATTTTGACGTCATACTGAACAGACGCACGGCAACATGGAATCTATTTGTTAAATGATGCACGCTCGCGCTATTAAATTTGATTAGGCGAATATTCTAGCTATGTTATAATGTGTAGTGACCAGTCATAGCAAAGATCAGGACACGCGACCAAGCCACAAACTAAGGGCCTGTTTACATGGAGTGGGGGACCCCGGTCTAGTGGGGTTGGTTTCTTTTGTTTTCACGCTCTGTGGGACACAAAACAAAAGAAACCTACCCCACTAGACCGGGGTCCCCCACTCCATGTAAACAAGGTTCTTGCTTGAGGTTTAGTTTTCTCAGTGCCTGATTGGCCGTTTTCTTGCAACGCAATAACATTCCAGAAATATCTCTGGTGTTCACGGTTTTATCGGTTTGACATTGAATCTTGTAGAGAACCACTGTCTCATGTTTGACATATTACACCCTTACTTGTTATGAATGAGAAATTATGAGTTAGGGTGGATTTCCACTGTTGCGTAAATTTTAAGTGCATGCGCACGTGAATTTTACACCCATAAATAAAATAGAGGCACTATATGAAGTGTCGTACGTTACGTGAAAGTCAAGCGAGGTTCAACTTTTATGTTAACGCGCGACCCTCTATACACAGCCTCTAATTTATTACTCGCGCAAAATTAATTGGTACAAAATACCTGGTACATTCTTTAAGTGCACAGTCGTGCACAGTATAATCGTTGACAAACTTATTCCCAGGCCCTCCCAAGAAGAAAAGAGACCTTACACTGGGAACGAAATTTTGTCATCTCGACTGAATTATAGCATGGCAATAGTCCACTACCTCTGAGTTAAAGTGCACATTACACCATCTCGAGGCTTTAATGTTAAATTTTCTTCGACTTGGTCTGTTTGGCCAGGAAGGATCTCGAACTTGAATTCTCTGAGGAGCCTTGCCATTAAAACCTTTGCCTCAAACTGAGCTAATGTCTTTCCAATACAACTTCTAGGACCCAGGGAGAATGGAAAAAACACAGACTGTGATATAGCATCTTCACGAGACGGGGAAAAGCGATCTGGATCAAAATCATCTGGAGATTCCCAGAATTCAGGAGACTTTTGGACATTATAACATGAAACAACTACTGGAGTTTTGGCTGGTATTTTGTAACCACCAAAAATGTCTTCGTTTTGAAGAATTCTTTGAGTCCCACCAATGGGAGGATGCTTACGTAGGGCTTCTTTCAGTGTCTGGTCAAGGTATTGCAGTTGGCCAAGATCTTGATACTCCACAGTCTCACGATGACCAAGAACTTTATCCACCTCTTTCAAAATCCTGGCAAGAAATTTCAACAAGATAAATCAAATGCAGGGGAGTTAATTCTGGTACATACCGTAAAATTCCGAAAATAAGCCCCTCCATGTATAAACACCTCCAAATATAAGGCCCCCAAAACGGTAATGCAAAAAACCCTCCATTAAATCACCCTCCAAAAAAAAGCCCCACGGGGGCTTGTACTTGGAAAATTGCCCTCAAATACAAAGTAAAACAAAGCAAAAACGGTAAATTTACCTTCAACTATAACTGAGGCTAGCCCAATCGATTTTGAACCGCAAATTTGCCGCCGTAGATAAGCCCCCCCCAACAAATAAGCCCCTCAAAAAGGGACTTTGAAAAATATAAGCCCCGGGGTTATTTTCGGAATTTTACGGTAAATAGTTGGCTTGCCCTTTAGTTGGCTTGATTAGCTCAATGGATAGGGCATTGCACCTGGTATCGCAAAGGTCAGGGCTCAATTCTTGGACAGGCCTGAATGTTTCAGGTTCTTTTTAACCGCTTAGACATTTCATTCTACTGCGAAGGTAATGTTCATGTTTAAAGTTATTTGATTTGTTACAGAAATTCTTGTTGAACAGTTCTACAAGTCTGTGCTCAGGCTATGCTGTAGTTGAACACACTTTCAAAACACAAATTCAAATTTAATATTCGTGCATCATTGCTTGATAAATTGGAGGCTGGCGATACTTATTATGAAATGGATGAAATTATTCTTAAAATTAAGAAAGCAGAACCAATTTTTTTGTAATCGCCTGCCTATAAAAACAGCGAGGGAATGTTTTGTTTTTCCTTTCCTCCTTAGAGTTTTAAATGCATCTTTTTCATACGCTTTTCTTCGTAAGATTATAAATTTTTGCAATTAGTCAGTCAATCGCTCCGTATTTATTTGAAAACGGATGAATCTTCCTTGCTTTTTAACCTTAATTTTATTGCAATTATTTTCTTTTCATATCATTCCTGGCCCGCCTAGACAAGCTATAGCTATTTGCGGTGCCAGGACACTTGTAAAAAAATTCTTTAGACCATTTATAATAAAGTCTTGAAGTCTTGAAGTCCGTCGCCTTACTTTTGCTTATGGGTGATCAAGAAATCTTAGTTTTTTAATAGAAATCTTGCGCTGGGCACCCAGGATTTCACAGGTTCAGAGCACTGGGCTCCCTTCAGTTTTTCTTAGCCAGAGCACAAGATGAGTTCAAAAGGAGATGAAATGTTACTTTCACTTTTGAGCCTGTGGATAACAACAAAACAAAGTCCAACATGTGCTTGCAGAAATAAAAAAAACCCTAGGGGGGTACACCTAGGGGGGTACTCGGGATTTCAAGTGACGGGGATGATCGAATGGAGCCAAAAGTCAAGACCCAAAATAATCCCTAGGGCTTCCAGCAAAACCCCAAAAAAATCCCTGGACCAAAAATTAACCCCCAAAAAATCCCATGCCGATTTTGTGGCCCTTAAAAGTTCCAGAAAGAGGTAATGCTATAACACAAAGAAAAACATTGCAAATTGAACACTCGTGTTTTTTATTCATCATACCATCTGAATATATCCTTTCCCTCATCTGATTCTTTTTAATACCCCCAAAAAATCCCTACTCAAATCAAGCTACCCAAGCCAAATTTTCGTACCCAAAAAAATCTCGGAATCGAAAAATTTATTTCAAACCCAAAAAAATCCTTCGATCATCCCCATCACTTGAAGTCCCGAGTACCCCCCCTGGGGGGTACATTAGCATAGCTGAACGTTTTCAATATCATAATTATTTGTAGTTGTACATATTATTGTTAAAAACTGAATCATTGGATAATGCAATTCTAGCTATAGCTCTGATTGGCTCAGCCATCATGATATATGAGCTGTTATATCATGCTCTCCAAATATGGTAACTGTATGCGTGTGCTCAAAATTAAATACAAGCTGAAAATCAGTTGTTTTTACAAATAAAGTTAGGAAGAATTCTCCATATTTTGTGGGCATTTTTAATAAAACAATTATTACACTCACGCTTGTTGGACATGAGTTGATTTAGCCAGTGCCTTATTGGCTACCTACCATCCCATGTCCAATGCACACTCATGGAATAATTGTTAAGTAGATTATATCGTTCTTCATTACTGACTTTATATTTTTTACACCAAATCTTAATAAAAAATCAAGAGGTTATGCCACATACCTTTCTTCAATCATTGGTTGGTTTAGAATTTCATACAGAGTAAATGAGAGCTGGTTTGATGTTGTTTCTTGCCCTATTAGAGTTTTGAATGAAATAAAGAAATCATATTTAGGAAACAAAGTAACAAAAAGTGGTCTCGGACATCCCATCAGGGAGGTCTCACCAATAAAGGTGCATTCATGTAGCTAAAAACTGGACTTTCCGAGAGCATAAAAGCAGAGAACACCCTTTCAGGGAGGTCTGAAATCTAGAGTGCCTAACATATAAGGGCCTGTTTATTTTAATTGGGGTGAGCCAGCCCAGTTAGCTGGGCTGTTTCACTTTACCAGGCTGGCTCAGCTCACAACTTGTCTCCTCATAAAATTTCCATTGTGTCTATTTGAGATCAGAAAGTGGGCTGGCACACTTGCCGAGATCTCCGTTGCTTGGCCAAGATCTTGGTGAGTGTGCCAGCCAACATTCTCATAAAAGCACAAAGAACTGCTATGAAGAAGAAACACATGGGCCTAGCTAGCCTGATAAAGCAGGCAGCATGGCTAACTGGGTGACTCATCGCATATGAGGATAGGTGTAAAATTCTTAAATGGAACTCTTTAGAATGAAGGAGAGAATTCCTATCTCTGGTGGAGTGCTGTAAGATTATATTCAGTCTGAATGGTCTAAACTTCAGTGATTATTTTGAACTGTGCAAGAGCATAAAGACTAGATCCAACCATCAATATAAGATACAATATAAGATACAATTAAACTGTTATAAATATTCCTTCTTTGTTAAGATAATCAAGTTTTGTCACGATCTTCCAAGTAACGTAATCAATTGTCACGACAGTCCAAACATTAACAAGTTTAAAGTAAGATTGAAAAATCACATGAATATTTATTGAATGTACATTCCATACTTTGTTAAAGATGTTTCTGTGATTTTTATAAAGATATTTTTATTAACTTCCTTTTATATAATGTACATATTTTTATTGTAATATTTATATACATAGTTTTTTGTTCTTTTAGGAGATCCTTAATATAGGGTTGACCTCTGGGTTTCCTTTTTCTTAATAACTGCACTTGTTTGCAACAATGCTTGCTATTTTGAAATAAAGTATTGTATATATACAAAATAAACCCTAACAGGTGTTCAGGTGTTCATGGCTTCACCCAATCGCCCCTGAGAATTTCGCTTAAAATGAGATAAGAGATACAAGGGACATGGATCCACACGGATAGTTACAGGTAGCCTCCCCTACAGACATTCTTAGGGGTTTGTTATGTGCTCTTCTAGCTGGGGCAGGAACATGTGAGGAACCCCTAAGAATGTATGTGCAGGGAGGCTACAATCGGCGACAAAATTGTTGAGACATTGTACTTAACTAGGGTAACTTCGGAGAACAAAAGAATCCGCACCCCCCCCCCCCCCCCCCCCCCCCCCCCCCCCCAACCTGGGTGTGTTTTTTTTTTTTTTTATTAGCAGAAAACAAGGACAAAACACTAAGAGGGGGGGGGGGGGGGGGAAAAAAATATATTCTTTTTCTATTTTAAAAAAAAAAAAAAAAACAACAACCATTGGGCTAGAAGTTAATAATAACTTTTTAGAATCCGCACCCCCCCCCCCCTGTCCCCTCCATTCAAAGTTGGGTGTTTGTTGTTTTCTATAGGTAGCTAGAACAAGGGCACAACATTGCACGGAGGGGATGGGGGAGGAAAGCAATATTTCCTCCTTTTAAAGTTAATAAAACGTAAAAAAAGCCCAGTTTTGGGCCAAGTGTCTCAACTCATTTTGTTGCCGATTGTGGGTTACAAGTGGTTGAGGGGTGAATGGGTTATGGGGGCTGCAAAAGTACAGCAACCTTAAAAATAAACAAAGCTCCCTGTTCTAGAAAGAAAGAAACAAATAAACAAAATACAAACAGAGCATTCTGTATATTCATACCTGCAATAAAAATTGTCAAGAAATTGTCCACCAAGTCATCCATGTTGATCTCAGGGTTCTCTTGTGCTCCTTTGACAATATGTTCCAATATATCACTTGGTGTCTCATCCCTATTTTGTAAAGCCAAACACCGCTCTTTGATGACATTCTTGGCAAAGAGACGAAGGTATTTTATAGCATCGATGACAGAATTTTGAAAGGGAAATGCAGATATCTGGAACATCCAAAATGGATTTTGGAAATTTGCTTGCATTCCTTCCAGTGTTTTTGACACGGCACTTGGAAATGCTGAGTCTGGATTTCCTACATTGTTCAGATTGATGCCAAAACCAACCTGAAATGAAATATGGTCAAACTATATTAATAAAGGCACTGCGGGGTCCATAGAAAGTGTCTGTATTAATAGGGTGTCCTAACCTCCTTCCCAACCCTCCTTCCTCCTTTCTTGTTGCAAGCAGAAGCAGAAGAATAGACCAATCACATCCAATCACCGTACTTGTTTCCATGAATGTTATTGACTTCTTCTTTTACCTCTGATCATCATCAGCAATCCAGTGCTAAGGGGTGTAATCAATTAATAACACTTGACAAGGTGGAGCTCAGCCGATTGACACAGGTTAATTGTTGATCTAAGAGCCAAGTAGCTTTGGCACTTAGTTTTAGGCCTAACTGAAGCCTGCGGGGCTGAGAAAAATTATTTTGAAGGCTAGGCCTCCTGTTATCTCAGGTTGTGGGTTTATGGACCCCCAATTACTTGAAGAGATCGCACACAGGTATAAAAATGTTTTGTGTGAATATGTACATGCTACTTGTACTTTAAATCATTGTAACAGCACTGCAGTCTAATTCTAGATTCAGCTGCATATTGTCAGCAACACATTCATTATGCAAAATACCAGACTCTGCTGGCCTCTGTTGGCTTAATTTTCACCAGACTGAAATGCTGTAGTTTTTGATAGTGATAACTCCAACATTGTTTTAGAAATCTGAAAACTTTGTTTCAGTGGAAAGGTAACACCCAGTCCACAAGAATCTGGATATTTCATATTTGAAACTGCACATTATTTTACACGAATTTGCCATCCATCCACATGAACCAGTCAAAAATATGACATTCTGCTGACCAAAAGCCCATCTTTTTTAAGGGTGCGTTTAAAACACGAAATTGCAAAATGACTTTCCTAAACAGTAAAAACATCTGTCAAACGACTCCCCGTTTTTTTGTCGAGTCTAACTAGTATGCTGTTATTTCTTTGCCTTCTATTCATGAACCAGCAAAACTTTGCTCAGCCATGCAAAACCTCACTAATGTTACTGTGCCATCACAGTTTTCCCTTTCTTGTTCGTAAATTATCGCAGTCACATGATCTTTCTACATATTTGTTTTGTACAAAGGACAAAATGCATGTCGTCTTGTTTTAAAGCCATTTATTGGCATTATTGCAATAGAGCAAATTTCACGTTATAGTTATTGCTTTCGTATACTTGGAGACTGCAAACAAAGTTTATCAACTGTGAAAGGTTTGAACCCAGGAGTCATTTCAAAAGTAGGTTGAGTTTGATTGTCCGGGTGAACGTAGTCCTGAATAGGACTGTTGTTGTTGACAGTGACTGACGTTTCGACAACCTGTACGGTAGTCATCTTCAGAGTCAAAGTGAGTTGTATCATGTCAGTTGATGGTATTACACTCTGGTTATTGATCTGATTGGTCAATTACGTCGCGATGTTATTGGTCGTCTGTCAGTTAAGCCATGATGTTATTGGCTATGAGGACTCATAATCAGTAATTGGTACGTTTCGATCTGTCTATTGTCACAGTTAAACAGTCGTCTATTGTTAGTCAAGTTGTCAGTTCTCCAGTCGTTCTCACGTAGTTAATTTTCCTTGATCTCGTCAATGAGTTGTTTGTACGGCGCTGGTAACTGTTGGCTGCGATTCAGTCAGGCGTTTGTTCTAAGTTAGTAAACCAGCTTTCTAAAGTAAGACGTTGATAGTAGTCTGTAGAATACGTTATACATGTCACAGAGTCCCAGTCAATTTGAACGTTTATCAAGCAAATCAGATCAATTGTGCAGGTAATACCATGCTTATAATTACCCTGTCTATATTTGTACTTGTAGAACTCTTAGCAACTTTTTTTTGACTTAAGACTTTTTACTTCTTCATCCTCACATATGTAAAAGTTGACTGCAGCTTAGCTTTGTAATACGCAAATTTCCCCATGGAAGTGCTATTTTCAGCATGTGTGATGAGCTTGTATGTGCACAACACTCAAGCTCTGCGTGACAACAAATCTCGTCACCAGAACCTTCATATCTTATGGCTGCGCAATAGTGTAGAGCTCAGGTTGAGAATGTACGTAACAACTTCATCTAAATAATTTTATTCATTTCACCATTTCGTCATTTCGCTATTTCATGTTTTAAACAAGCCCAAGCCCCTTCTTTAAACTGCTCCTCAGAGTGGTTTAAGGCCCTGTCCACACAAATTTGGAGTGTGAAGATATGTAGTTTCAAAAACGTTTGGATTTGTGTGGACAGGGCCTAAGTCTATGGTTGGAAGATCAATATCAATATTAGTGATGTAACATAATTATTGCTGTTACATTTCTGAATAGTCACTAAACGTGAAAACCAGCATACAGTACCTTGCCAATAATGTCAAGAGTAACCCTTCCAAATTCATTCACCATCCTGACAGGCGTTTTACCATCGGCATATTTCCTCAGATTTTCGAGAAAATCGTCACAAATGGAATTAAAAGCGTCCATCAAGTTCATTAAATACCTTCTGTGAAATGCTGGGTTTAACATTGCTCGCTTACGACGCCAGACTTCGTGATCGACTTCCGTCAAAATCCCCCGCCCAGAAGCCCGGTGGCCAAACACGTTACTCAGCTTGGAGTAGACACGCTCTGCTTTGGGCAAATTCAGTGTGATGAGGGCTTTTTTGGCCATGTCTGGGTCAGACAAAATGACAACGGGAATAAAATAAATCCAAGTAATGTAAACCGATCCGTATTGCCGATACCAGTTCATCCATATAATGGTCATTCCTTTATCTTGAGCTCTCTTTTTCTCTCGTCGAATAGACGGGATATTGCCGGTAAAGAAGCTATCTCTTGGAGGCCCAGGGATGTGGTCGTAACGCAAATGCTGATGGTGGACATGCAAAACAAACGACAAGAATCCAAGGAAAAGAAGGAGAATCAGGAATAACGCAGAGTACGTTAACAATGTTAAAGCCATTGCAACTGACACTTGAAATGATTGCTAAATTCCCTAAGAGAAGTCATGGAGAAAATTAAATGGGTAAGTGACAACGAAGACAAACAGGTCACCATTTGTAACATTTCGTTTGGGCCATATATGATGTACCTACTCACCGAAGTATAACGATCGCGGGCTCGTCGCTTTGCTCAGCGGTTTTTACGCCACCGTTGCCAGGAGAAAGTCAACACAAGGATCGTAGTTCACTTGATCTCAACAACATAGGAGTCTGTTTTACTTTTTCTTGCAGGTTATTCACGCGATTACGGGAAGAATTTCGTTGTTTAGACATCATTCTAACTTGCTTTGTCACCAGGTGCGTTTGATGTTGCCCGTAAATGCCTCAGATATGGTAGATCGTTTAAGTGAAAAAGCGCAGAGAAGCAAGAGCTGAAGAAGCAGTCCCAGGTCTTGGACTGTTTTACAAATACGTAGTTCATTGGTCGTTTTAATTCACATTTTCTTCTTTCCTCTGTTAGATCGGCGACATTTAGTATCAAAAATGGTGTCTGCTGTAGCAAATGGCTATGAACATTCGGTAAGGTGGAGCATTGGTTTATTTCACATGAATTTAGGGAAAATTTTGAATTGCAAAATTTAAACGCAGAATCATTATATTTATTTCATGCTAACAACATTGTATTTGAAGTACTAAAATTATTGCCGTCTACCTTGCTATAGGTGCCTCTAATCATGGACAGGTGTTTTTGCACAACTAGGTTTTTGATTCAGGCCTTCTAAACGTTAAAAATTTTTTCCTAATAATAAATATGGTTCAATTTATCAAACCTTTGATTGACCAGTTAACACAATATTGTTGTTGTTTGATACCAGATAAATTTATGTTTATTTTTGTTTTAAAATGCAACTATCCTACCAACAAAAAGAACTGAGAGGGTTGGCATCGGTCAGTTGGGGCTTTTGATCCCAAAGCATTATTGTGCCATTTGCATAATTGTTTATTAATTTCTTTCAAATAATTTAGAACTAGCTAAGTTCTAAAATAACGTATTTCCACTGTTAACATTTACCAGCTATTTTGCTGCATGTGTACATGTGTATTCATACTGTGTGTAAAGTTCCATGTTGATATGATTCCATACTTATACCGTTTTTCTTTTTTCAGTCCTTTGCCAGTCCTGTTGCTCTTAAAGAAGTTGAAGACAAAATAAGAAAAGCTGTACATGCCAGAAATGTGAGATTAACAGAGTACTTCAAGGATTTTGATAGACTTAGAACTGGTTTTATAACAAGTAAGTTATTTAAGTCTCTGTCAAAATGATGTAACAAGGTATTTTTGCAAGTACATTATATCAAAGGGATAATTTCCTGATAAAAATTAAACACTCTGGTATTTGAGGCCTCCCCCACCCCCTATCATTTCTTGACATTTAGGAATCTCACTGGTGGCATTCCTTTTGAACCTGATTTTCATGTGTTGGGAAATTCCCACTGATCATAGGGGATTTCTTTGCTTCCTTTCACTGATTTTGCAAGACTTTTTAAAATGAAAACACAACATTTACGTCAAATACACGTACCCCTAATTGGCCGTGTTGGTCATGGAAAAACTGGGAAAAGCAAGAGGTAATCATGGCTTAGATGAAATTGAAATCATACATGTACAAAAAAAGTCAACTCCCGATAATTCAAACCTTCAATGGAAATAGAAAAAAGTGCGAGTTGTCGGGAGTTCGAGTTATCAAAGGTAAAATTATATAGAAAACGACCTGAGGGGAAATGAAAATTGCTTGGAGTTAGCGGGAGGTTCGAGTTATAGAGGGTTCGAGTTACTGGGAGGCGACTTTACTTCTTTAGTTGAAGGCAATCATTCTGAGAACTCACTTTTCTTTGATTGGAACCCCCCAAATGACAATACCAAATATTTAGCTTTACAATGAGAACACATATCCCTTAAGTGCGTCATGTAATGATTGTGTAACATTTTTTTTTTTCATTTCTTTGTTTCAGAGACTCAGTTTGACCGTTGTTTAGATCAGTTATTTGGAATTGTGCTGAGCCCCGAGGATGATGCAAAATTGATGGAAAAATATGGTAGTCCTGACCCAAAACGTAGAGGAATGGTCAGCTACAGAAAATTCTGTGAGGTGATTGGTGCAGGTACTATGATAATTTATTTTCTTATCTTTTTTGACCACTATTAATTAACACAGAAGTTTTAGTAGTGTTGCTTAAACAAGACAGATTTTTGTTGTCGTCAAGGTGGTCAGGGAAAAATCAGTAAATTTTATTTTCTGGTTACATCAAGATCAGGAAGATCGATTATGAATAATAAAATTTTGACAAATCCTTTTTAAATTAATGGCCAATAAAATTTGGTACTCTAGATACATGTACTTGTGAATTTTCCAAATCCCATGAATTTAGGTATTAAAAGAGTTAAAAATAGACTAACAATGTATTGATGATAAATTGCACTACCTACTGATAACATTGCCAAGGGTTAAATAAATAGAATGGCACATGAATCTGTCATTAACTAGAACTTCATTACTTTTTGACTTACAGTTTTTAATCCTGACATCCTTGGCCAGGATCCAGCAACACAGAAGATCGGTCCTGCTGCCAGGTAAAATTTTTTCACAAACCCGAGTGTGTCATCTTTGTTCTTTTTAATTATGTGCTTTTCAGCTATTCGATCTTTTGCCTGGTGCAAAGGAACATTCATGATTTCTGCTTTGTTGTAGCAATAATACCGTGGATCGCCGTCCTTTAAGTCCAGCATCTCTTTCAAAGTGTGAAAATTTGTTGATGAGACTGGCCCAGTTCTACAAATACCATGGAATCAACATCAAAACTTGTTATGCTGACTTTGATAAACATCACATTGGTGTTGTGACAGAAAGCCAGGTAGGTACAAATAATTATCAGTTTGTAGACCCAGCACTCAAAATTCGGAATCCTTTAACAGTGTCTTTCTTTCTTTTCCAGTTTTACAGAAGTTTTCCTGGTTCACCTGATGTGACAGCTGAAGAGACAGTTTTATTGGCAAAGAAGTACCGCGACCACACCAGGCCTGGGCTTTGTAACTACTACAGTTTCCATGAAGACATTGAAAGAAAGCAAAGTGGTAAAAATATGGACCTTTCTATCTTCACATTCACAGCCCTTTTAATATTACTGTCTTGCCAACCAGGATGAGAAGGGGTGTACTCCCTGTCTTATAATGGCCTCCTAGTGATTTCGTTACAAATATTTATGGTGAGTCCTGGGACTCATCTTCAAATTGATCGATCATTCTTTGCGTCCAATGGGATGCATGCCATGAATTATTAATTGCGTCTTTGGAGATTTTTATGCCTCAGGGACACAGGACACAGAGGAAACAAAATCACTGCCTGTGCCCAAAAGGGGTACCAATTTCAGGCTGTAGCTCTATTAGAGGGTATGGGTTTCACAAGTTGAAGTATATGAAAGGGTAGAGAAATTTGTCATTTCGGTCTGTTAAAGGACCAACTGTAACAGGCACAATCTATGGCTGTCAATCTGACAAGAAAACTTTCTGAGTTATAGTAATTTATTCATATTTAATAAAAGAAGGTGCATTTACAGCGGTTTAAAAGGATGAAGCGTTATAAATTAATATTTGAAAGGGGTACCATTTGTCAATAAAAGATCTACGAAAGAGGTCCCTTTTTTCCAGTAAACAAGCGTGTCCCCACTTGTTTCGCTATTAATTTGTTGCTTCCCTTCCAATTTGCGTTGTGGGGAAAATAGGCTGTGTAGCTTGCGGTTTTGTCGAAGGATGACTTCAAGGGAAGACTGCTGTAAACTGTCTATTTAGCGTTACGTCCATACAAAATTGATGTAAAAGGCCGTTTACACGGAACGAAATTCAAATATGAAAATTCCTGAAGTTTACACCAGAAACGAAAATCTGAAGATGAAGACAGAGACTGACTTCATTAAAGTCGAGGCGGACACCTAACCATGAAGAAAGTCATGAGGCATATTCTTCTTGTGCTACTTCTGGTAAAGCGCTTAGATCTCGCCTGTTTTAGAAACAACTGAGCTCAAATTGTACATAGCCATTAAGAAATGGTGAACGTTTATGAGTTTAGTCTTTTACTTGGTAGGTTGCGCTTTGTTTATGGTGACCAGATAAACCCCACCAGTGCCAAGTTATGAGAACAATGATTCTGTGCCCGCTTTATGGTGACGAACCCACTAGTCCCTGACTAGTGCCAAGTTATGAGAATAATGATTCTGTGCCCACGTGAACGATTGCGAATCGAATAGGAGACAACAATTTTTTTTATCAATAATCAGCGCTTTCATGACAGAAGCCGAGGTTTTAATTGAAAGTTTGCCAGCAAGTTATTATCGTTTACAACCATGAACAAGTTTGTCATCCCTAAATGTAGTGCCTCTATCTTTTCCTTCCTTAAAGCGCTCTTTTAGAATTCCGCAGGCTTATGACATGACACACTATATATGTTGTACGCCTAGTTTACCTTTCTGTAGGACCAGCTCATGAAGGTTTTTATATCTGCTCCAAATTCTTGGACTCAAATTTTTCGGAAAGACCAAGTTTGTGGGAAGTCCGACTGAAACGCGATGAAAATTGTGGTAATTAATTGGTAATGAAATTCCACGCACTAAATTTAAAACAGTAAACAAGTATTTCCAAAGAAAGCATAGCGGCATTTTGTTCCGATATAAAAGAACTTTGATTTTTTTTTAACAAGGACAATTAGTTGAAAAAAGTTTTCTGTTTTCAATATAGCCTGTGTACACAGGCGATTTTCAATATTTTCAGATAAGAATTGCCATTTTGTCTTAGTGCATTTGATAACGTTCGAGTTTTTGATAAACATTTTTATTTATTCACTTGCTGTCGTAGTACACAAGTGAAGTATTTCACACCATATTCATGAATATCTCGCACACCTGGCAAGTGTACGTACGTGCATACCACTCGCACTCGTGCAATGATGATCGCACATTGACATGACCATAAACTCAAACCGATTCCACGTGCGGCATTGAAATCAGACGAGTGACAAATCACGGCCACAGGGTTGTCCCGGGTCTAGGCAAATGCCTGGCCCTTGTGTGTAGTATCAAAAGATTAACCCCCCCCCCCTCCCCCCGCTTCCCGCGCGTTTAAAACGCGACCAGATCCCCCACAAATTCTCGCTGGAAGGGTACGAGTGGGATTGGCTGATGTATTACACTTTCCTTTGGGGGTTGCAGCTCTTGTCGCACGATACCCTGCGAGCAGAGGCTACATTTTCGCAGTGTGAGCTGGCGTGCGAAAAGTAGCCTCTGCCGACAACCGTTCAATTTGTATCGCGCATGCGCGAAATTCGTTACGCGATTCGCAAGCAAAATTAATCGTCAGGTCTGTCGTCAAATGGCGCGAGTTTCGCGGGAATAAACAAATTGCGTTAACTCTGATCTACCACTTCGGAAGTGCTTTCACATGGTACTTTTTATTTAGTATGTAGTTCTAACGTTTGAGTCGTTGGACGAAATCCTGTGGTGTGACCATTCAAATGAAACCACTTTGATTCGGAAGTTACTTTAGACTGAAATATGAAATACCGTATTTATTCGATTAACCGCCCTGGGCGCTTATTACATTTTTGGACCTTGAGAGTGGGCGCTTATTCGAGGCTGGGCGTTATTAAATGTTCACCATTTTCAACAAGTGTAGCCTTCGGGGAAGTCTCAAATTAGTACTTATTCCTTTTTTGCGGTGGTAGCGGGAAGGGAGTGGGCGCTTATTTGAGTTTGAGTGGGACTGGGAGGGAGGTGGGGTGGGCGCTTATTCGAGGCTGGGCGCCTATTAACTTTTTCTGCCTTTAGGATGGGTGCTTATTCGAGGTGGGCGCTAATTCGAGGTTGGGCGCTTATTCGAATAAATACGGTATTTCTCCTTTTTTAGATTTAGCAGAACAAGAAGACTTCACAAAGTACATTCCAATACAGGACTTTATTGACGACAACAGACGGGTAAGAGATCAGGCAAAATACTAGGGATGTTATCTTGGCGTCCTTAAGTCTGAAACAAAAACAGCCCTAGCCTGTGTGGCAAGCGTTCGAAAGTCGAGAGGAAATGAATTTGGAGACCTTAATTCCTTTCAAACCCGTGCCACCAGGCTAAACTGAACAGCCCGGAAGTAGATCTTTTTAGGGCTGTGACAAGGTAGCTTGTACTACAAGAGTGAAATGAAAGCTTTTAAAACTTGTCGTGTTGACCAGAAGAGTTCCTAACCTTTGGCATGGTTGCTATTTATGGTATCAAAAGGTTTGACAACATTTTTCACAACATTTTCATGTTGTCAAACTTCGTTTTACCAAACACATTTTATTCCTATGCGTTTAAAGGAGCTGTGTCATGAATTTTATCAAAATTCAAAAAGTAGGAACTGCTACCAGATCGAGTGAAACAAAAATAATCGCTCAAAACATTACAAGAAGGTTTTAGTAACACAGTAAATACAAATTGAGGCACGGATGGACAAACTTGAAGAAGATTAAAACGGATTACAATTGTGGGTTACTTTTTGACAACTTGTAAAACTAACAGTTTTTCAAAGTTCATTTTTTGTTGTTCTTACTGCGCTTTTCGCAGAAACTCTAAAGTCAAAAGCCGCTGTCACAATTGCGTTTTTCGCTGCCGTCAATCATAACTACTAGAGAGTTTTAGATCCGAGTTTACCGCGAACCTCTAACCGCGGTTTGCGGTTACCCGTTTGCGGTTCAACGTTCAAACATAATTCGGTTTAGATTGGCGGTGGATTAAAGAAGTGGACGCGAACGGTTTGTCACGTGACCTCCAGCGGTGAGAGGTTCGCGGTAAACTCGGATCTAAACTCTCTACTTTCACAAGCAACGAACCTTGAAACACAGAAACGCACAAACCGGATAAAAATACGATTTCGATCCGTTCGATCTGTGATTGGTGAGCCACCAATCACAGATAACAAACCATGACCTTTTGAGCCCATTTAAGTAAAGTTCTGTTTCCTAAGAGGTCCTCTAAGATGATAGACGGCAGCGAAAAACGCAAACGTCAGTTTGATATGATGCTATGGAGACATGTAGCTCACAAAAAGCTTTGTCCTTTACAACTCTCTCCTCCGCGGAGGCCTCTTTGTATCATAGGGAGGGCTGGAGAGAGGGAAAAAGAGAGCGCGCGGGGAATGATGGGAAGGGGAAAGAGAAGAAGCTCCCGCCTTTTCCCTCTTCCCATCGTCCCCCGCGCGATTTCTATTTTTCGATTATTGCTATTTTTATTGGGATGCCTAGCGGGAGCCTCTGCGGAGGAGAGAGCCTTTACAAGTATTCTTTTCGCTAACGTTAAGTTCAAAAGCACTTAAGGAAGCGGCGTAATTGGTACTATAAACAAAATGAAATAGCCATCCATGACAAAGCCCTGTACATTCAAAAATAACTGAGATGTTATACACTTTCTAATCGATGTAAAATACAATAAACTCCTTGAAAAATTATGACTTATGCACGTCTTTTTCTATTTCTTTTCATTTGTTTCACATTTTTTAGCGCCCTGGAACACCGACCTTGCACGAAATATTTGAGAAGATCAGATTAGCTATCCACAAGCACGGAATACGAACCACTGAATTTTTTAAGGACCACGACAAGTTAAGGAGTGGAGAAATCACAGAAAATCAGGTACAGGGCCGTGTTGGCCTCGCTCCCACAAAAGTAGCCTCGTTCTTCTGTAATCATCTGACTCGTCAACAGTCGTATTCTCGTAACGCGCGCTCCTTCCCATCACACCCCTCGCGCCACTAAGGAGAGACACAGAGAGAGACGACTGGGGACGAGTCAGTGTAATCATCGCTTCGCGCAAAACGAAGGCCTTGAGAAAACGCATGTAGTGAACCGATGTTCAGTTCAAAGTCCCGATGACTTTACGGTCTTGGAAAGTTATCTCACGTCTGCATTAAACACACAATGACAAAGTTAGTTTTCCTGTCTCTTTATAAACAAGGAGATTTGGCTCTTGTGTAAACTTGATCCATGGCTACCTAAACAATTCAAATGTTGGGAAATTTTCGTAAATTTGACATACTCAGCAAGTTGTGGTGAAGCTAAAAAGAACTTTAATTTAATCATCACGTTTACAGTCGTATTCGTCTTTGCTTAAGCTTCATTTTTGTGGAGAACGCGACCATACAAAGGAAGATTTGTCAGTTCTCTTATTAAACTTGGACACGGTCCCTCAGAATTCAGCTGTTAGAAATCTACTCCACCCTTGTCAATGTGAGCCGGACTTTGAAGTCTACGAGTGCTTGAATTCATGAACTTTCTCTGCGACGATTCACTGCTGTCGTCTGAATGCATTAAGTTCCTTAGAAATGTTCTCGTTGCCGTCGTGGTCTTCTCGCTATTATTGAGGGTCAAGGTGGATTGTTTTGTTTCCCTGCAGTTTATTTGCGGCCTGAGCCTTTGCTGTGGTACTCAAGCGCATTTGTCACGTGATGAGATACAGAAGGTTGTTGACGTGTATCGCCAGCCTGATGGCCGAGTGAGATACAAAGAGTTCTGTGATATAATGGAGAATGGTTAGTTGTCTCAAGTAGTACATGTACCACGTTATCTGTAAATAGATCAAATTTCCCCCTTTTCTTTTCATTCATGAGTAAAAATCACGCTGTCCGGAGGTGTAAGGGCCTTGAAAAAAACGAGAACCAAGGAACTTTCTTTACGTAGACCAAACAATTGCTACATTTGTTTGTCATTCAATTAGAGAGAACTCTGGGAGCGAGGTTGCAAAGCTGACAGTTTTGGGTTATTCTTTCATGTTACGCTTACGCCAAATAGACCTACGGTTTCATATAATAGTAATAGAATGTCCCCTATGTACCCTAGTCTTGTTGGATAGGGGCAGCAGAGGTGTGCGTAAGCAAGTGGCGAAGCCGCGAGGAGAATGGGATGAAAACAATGCGCTTTCTGCTAGCACAACAAAATCGCCAGCTATGCAGGCTAAGAGGAAGAAGACGTTTCTCTAGCATAATGAGCTTGATAACTTCATTTTTTTTGCAATGTATTGACCAAATATTAAACAATCTTGAGTTTCATCATAAACTGCTCTTTTTGTTGTTTCTCAGCATTCACAGTACCAGATCTGGAGAAAAAGCCAACTGCTGATGTTTACAGACCTCCCACTGGTGCACTAACAAAGGTACTTGAATTGCTTTGAGCAAACTTAAGTAGACGTCAGATTACTGCGTTCTGTGTGTTGTTTCTCTTTTTCCATGTGACGTCACAGTGGAATAATAAGGTTTTTTTTCTTCGATTACTCATTAATATTCAGTGGGTATATTTAACAATTATTCCACGAGTGCGCGTTGGATATGAGTTGGCTATAATCATCACATATCCAACAAGCGCGAGTGGAATACAATTGTTTTATTAAAAACGCCCACAAAATATCGAGAATTCTGCCCGACTTTATTTGTAAAAACAACCGATTTTTAACTTGTTTTTAATTTTGAACAGACGAGTACAGTACCATATTTGGAGAGCATGGTATAATGGCTCATATACCACGATGGCTAAGCCAATCAGTTTATCTAGAATTGCATTATCCAATGATTCAGTTGTTAATAATATCAATCAGGGCGGATAAATGTTGGGCGGTGAAACGAGCGCTCCGCTCTTCATTTAATGTGTGATGCGGAGTAGGACTGGCACGAGCGCTCTTTCCGCGCTTCCGGTG